TGATGATGATCATAATAATGATGATGTTGATGGTGATGTCAGTAATGATGATGATGATGATGATGAAGATGATGATGCACAGCGCCCTATGATGACTACAAGATGATGATGGTGTGATGACGAGCACCTTGGATGATAACCTAAAGATGATGATGATGATGATGATGATGAAGATGATGATAATGATGATGATGATGATGATGAGCAACGTCCTATGATGACGTCAAGCTTTGCCAACCGTGCCGTATGATGGAGAGATATTTGTCGATGGAGATACAACAATGAGTGACGAGCAGCGCCCCTGATGCACGGCTCCTTGATAATAGTGATGATATTAGCGCCGAACAGGAGTGAAGACATACGCCTTGATGATGATGACGAGCAGTACCCTGATGCTGATGATAGTGATGACGAGCGCCCTGATGATGATGACAAACCATTACCGTGATGATGCTGTCAAATCACGCCCTGTTGATGATGATGGTGAAGAGCAGCACTCTAATGATGATGACACCGATGCTGGTGCTGGTGGTGATCAACAAGAGTGCCGCAGATGGCAGAGATGTATACAAAACCGCAAAACGTCAATCCCGGTGGGACCCGGTTTCCAGCAGGTGATGCTCCCCACCAATAGACGGAGCGGCCCGCCAGGCAAAACCTCAATCCCGGTGGTTCTCTTACCACCACCAGGATGGAGGTCTTGCACGAGGGCCTTTGTGAAAAAAAAAAAAAAAAAAAAAAAAAAAAACGGTCAGTATCTCTTAATTCGTTGCAAATGGGACCTAGCCCCTAAACGCCCTTGAAAATTGCTAGGGTAACCAACTGGCCTAGCTCAGTTGGTACACCCAAGAACTGTTGAAATACAGACCCAAGTTCGAATCCAGAAACAATAAGATGACCAGAATAAATCATTTTGAATTAGCTGGGGCCGGTCAGTTCAACGATGGTATCTCAAGGTCGTCGCCCTTTTTTTTTTTTTAATAAAAAGAACTTGCTAGTGTGCAGGTGGGGGCTAACAAACTCAAGAAATGCGAAAATGTAACACCATGACACCAAGTCCCAGCGTCACGTAGAACTATGTGGCAGAGGCAAATGATGCGAATGCATTCACAAAACTCCTTTCTTGCAGCGAGGCCCTTAGCCTTTTTATTTATTTATTTTTAGGCCCTTAGGGCCTGATCCCACTTCTTATAGGCGAGCCACTTTTCGGTAAATTTTGGGATCCCACCTTTTTTTTTTTGCAAAAAACAGCCCGACCTGACGCTAGAGGTGCTGGTAAGAGCAGACACCACTAGCGCAGTCACGGAGGCTCCATCTATTGGTGGGGAGCAGCACCTGCTGGAAAACGGGTCCAGCGTCCCTTGACATGGTAATCATTCAATTATGTATACAAAGTTTGTGAAGATTTGTAATCTGTATGCGTAATAGGATGTGTGATGTTGAGCAGCATTGATCGCCCCCCCAGGAGGGGATTAACTACTCGTAAACCATACCTTCGTTACCCTATCCTGCTCCACCCGTCCATCGCAGCATAAACCATTCAACAACACACAGGCGGGGGGGAATACACGACAGGAACAGGAACCTAGATTAGCGACCCCATCCCTCCTAACAGACATTCGCGTCGAGCAACCTAGAAAACAAGCGTCCTACATGGCATAGCAATCGTCCATGTCGACCAAAGATGACAACAGAAAACCTAACCAATCCCTGAGTGGAATTGCGGACCGGGCAACTCCTCACGCAACGAACTACCCCACGCCCATCCTTTGCCAAACAGCAGCTCCGAACGCCCCACCGCTTCCACGCTCAATCTCCATATCCTCCTTGGCCTCATCGCCATAACCATGACTATTATTGCAGCTGTGATTATCATCAGCGCTATCATTGTAAGTGACGCCGGCAATCCCAATAGCACCATTAGTGTCTATGATCTCTTTCTTATCGATTTCATCTCCACAGTTATCGCTCGTTGCCCCAAAAAAACTGTGGTTGATGTCTTTGATGTAATTGTTATCTTCGAACTGATTGTTGTCATTGTTGTTTTTGTTGGCACCATCGTCTGTGTTATCGCCACCACCGCGGCTGTTGATGATGTCTTTGTCATCATAATCATTGCAGTCGTTATTGATGTTGAGGCTATTGTTGCCTCTGTCAATGATGTCGTTGTTATCGTTGTCGTTGCATTCGTTGTCGTTGTAGAATCTGTTGTTGCCGCTGATTTTCTCAATTGTTGTCGCAGGCGATGTCGGCGTCAATCCGTCGGAGCCGCCCTGCAATCCTATCTCCAAAGTAGCACAACGCTCCTGCCCTATCCTGAAGATGTCGTAGCATACATGCATGAGCAGGCCAGCCCGATGCCAGTCCACAAACTCATCGAGTGGAGGGGCCGGCCCCTCCAACTCCCAAATAATATCAAGCATGGCCTGCATCTTGTCCTCCAGCCATGGCGCCAGCGAAACCGTCCCCCCTACAGTCCCTAGCTGACCCCCCTGGCTCGAAAGCAGAATATCCACGACCTCATGCAGACGGCGACCTCCATCTTCAACAATCTGCAATCACTCAGCCGCACCCTGCCGTAAGTCTTCATCGGAATCCATGCCGTTCTTGTCGTCCCAAAAACGCGCCATCAGATCTCTTCAAGTAGACGCCTCACGCTAACGTACTGTCTCCTAGTGTACGTGGCGGAATATCCACCATCGCCTGAGCAGATGCCAGGCGGACACCACAGTGACCAGGAACAGCTACTGTCCCAGTCCACGGAGTATGGCTGAGCTGCACCAGCCGGTTCGTAGCGCAGGTCAGCGCCTTAAAAAGCGTCAACGCGTTTCCCAATCCCGGGTCTGGAAGACATAGCAGATCCAATGAATGGATCTCCTTGGGATCCCACTTCTTTCCGCAAGAGCCGGAGGTGGCCCTGTTTTTTCGAAGAAGTGGAAACAGCCTAGTATGTGGCAGTGCGAGCATGATTTGAGGACCCGTAGTTCTTTCAAAAAACAAAAGACGCCACCCCCGTACCCTGCACCGTGAAAGAAGGAGCCATTTATTTTTTCTTCCTTTTTGTTTTTCCCTGATGTGCAGGCCGTTGGATCCTCGAGGTGCCACAAGATAGTGCCGCTCCGTTAGGAAAACTCCCGCAGAAGTAAAGTATGTGGGATCCAAATTTTATAACACGGAGCGAGCAGGCCGGACCCTGGAAAACCAGTTCCTTTAGCTTTCTTCCCAAAAAGAAAAGAGGTGGGATCAGCCCCTTGGCCTCATCTTCAGTTCTAGGTGGCTTGCCACATCTTGCATTTCGGGGGCCCCGAAGTTGAGGATGTTCCGCTGAATCCCCTGAGCCGATTGCATCCCAAGAGCCTGGATCAATGAATTGTGCTCTTCTTCTCTCTCTCTCTCTCTCTCTCTCTCTCTCTCTGTGTGTGTGTGTGTGTGTGTGTGTGTGTGTGTGTGTGGAAAAGTTATGAACCTCCCCGAGAAGAAACCTTTGTATTCATTTTCCCCTCAACGGTGCAAAAAGTGCCGCAGGTCCAAAAATGACTTTTCGGGTCATTTTTGCACCCTGGCTGGGCCGGTACACCCGCTGCGCAAAAATAGTGTTTTACAGGGTTGGAAAATGATGCCAAAAGTCATGTTGGGGCCGTCGGCACTTCTGTGCAAAAATTGCGGGAAAGTGTTTTACAGGGTCGAAAAATGATGCCAAAAGTCATGTTGGGGCCTTCGGCACTTCTTGCCCCGTTGGGGGTGAGATGAATACAAAGGTCTCGTCGCGGGGAGTTTTTTTTTTTTTTTTTTTTTTTTTTTTTTTTTTTTTTTTTTTTTTTTTTTTTTTAAANTTTTTTTTTTCAAAGCCCCTTTGTCAGCCCTCTATCCCAGCGGTGGTAAGAGAACCGCCGGAATTGAGGGTCTCTTTGTCAGGCTGCTCCATCTATTGGTGGGGAGCGGCACCTGCTGGGAATCAGGCCCTGGCCCCAGCGTGCCATTGAAACATCATGAGGCACAGAGTTCTTCTGTTTGTTTTCCTAGGGCTGTGGGCATTTTTGTTTTCACCCTGGGGCTCCCTTTTCCCTGGAGCTGCTGATATCTCCTGACCCTTGTCAGAGCACCACTTTTCTGTTGGCCCAGCCCTTTTTGTGCAGCCTCCCTGGTTGTAGTGGCGATGTGTCATCCCTTTCATAAGGTCTTATAAGCCCTAAACCCTCTGAGGACCCTTACAGTCATCTCACTCCACCGCTGCTAACCCCCAGCGCCCCATTGGATTCCATTCGTGGCCGGGGGGTCCCTTTTTCCTTGGTTCTGCTGATAACTGCCAACAACTGTCCCTGGATCTGCTAACAACTCCGAACATCTGTCGGCCGGTCACTTATCTGTTGCCTCAGCCCTGTTGTGCTGCCCCCCTAATTGTCGTTATACTGTGTTGTGCCTTTAAACCCTAAACCCTCCGTGAACCTATGCCTCCGTCTCGCGGAGGTGGAAAACACTGCTACACTGGAAGATAGGGGGAGAGGACCCAGGACCGTAATAGGGGGGGTGAATCATGAGGTGGAGGTAGTGGAGGTCGTGCCATGAACAGATGTGGGCTCTGAGGCCAGCTGTCACTACTTCTGAAAGAGACTATGCCCCTACTTTCCGATTTATATTCCGAGTCTTTGGATAGGTGAACAAGATCTGCGCTATGAAGAGAGTGGCCGGATGGGCCAGGTTTTTTTACCAGCTTCCTGAATGGCTGAGCCTACTCCCGTATCGCACACCTCCGAGTATCTGTTGTTACTTGATGAAGAGCTGCGGTATGGCGATCTGGAGTGGCTGACCCTATGAGCTTCACCTTGTAGTTCCTCGGAAATGGAGATTTTCCATAACCGGCTTCTGATGAAGATGGGGGAGATAGATCGGCTCCAGATGGGGAAGGGGGATTCCGAAGCGGAGCGGGGGCAGAGGAGGGGGAGGGGGGGAGTGGGGTCATTGGTGGACAAGAACGAAGGAGGGGGGGGTGGAAGCGGAAGGGACTGGGAATTCTGCAGGGGATCTAAAGGGCCAGCTTCTTTCCTCCTTTCTCCAGTGCTTCCATTGAATTTGGGAATCTTCAATGCCGGCGAAGATCTTTCCAGGTCCCAGCCGTTGTTCGGAGAACTGGGTTGTAGCTGCCTCCATTTTCTGTTTTTTAATTGTGTCTGTCAGGAGCGGGTTGTCTTCTATTGCTTTTTTTATAATAGACAGTCTGTTCCATGCCGCTTTCGTTGTAATGTGCGGGTAGTCCGCTATGTGCTCCTTGGCTTGGATGAAGCCGAAGTTATTGGCGTGCCTTTCGAATGAGCAACGTGCCCTCCAGACTATCAAGTGCAGTTCTACGCTGAGGCTCGTTATTTGGAATAGGTTTGCCTCGTACGGGGACCACACGGGGGGAGTAGCAGTGTGTTTTCCCAGGAGGGGCAGTGGCAGATCCCACGGGTACCAAGATCCTGTCATCATATTCCAGGCCGTGTCCCACCATCTCCAGATTTGGGTGGCCATCGGACAGGCCAGGAGGCAGTGTTCCATTGTGGCTCTCAGGGGTTGGGCCGACCTGCCGCAGTATCTGCAAATGGGAGAGAGATGTCCCTTCTGCTCCAGCTGTCTGGATACAACCCAGTCTGGAGTAGGGAGGCAGCAATGCAAAATTTGCCATTGGAGGGCTCTATGTGACGTGGGCATCATGTGTGCATAGTGTGCCCATTTGAAGTCGGACCAGTCAATCGTGAGGAACACTGAGTCCCTCTCCCATCTGTTTTGGATTACTTGGGCTACAAGATGTTTTTTGTGCAGCACGCGGTACCCCTGTTTGACTGTGTATTGCCACAGTATTTGTGACTTGGTTTCCCCTATTCTTGGCCATTCCCAATCGGCAGGATCGAAGGGGAGCACGCAGATGGGGGTGGCAGGCTCAAATGCGTGATAAGTATGGTCTGGACCTTCAAAAACTCGGATTCTAATCAGGCCGGCCCAGTTAACCGTTTCGTCATCACCCTCGGACCTCTGTAATGGGGACCATCTGGCTTGTTGGTCCGTTATTTGATAGGCTTGAAGGCTGACATCGTTTACCTTTTTGTCCACCACTTGCCATACCATCGTCTTGCCGAGGAGGCTCTTGTAGTGCACCACCTAGTCATGTTTTTTAATCGTTGGACCCTTTTTCAGTCGAGCAAGCCAAGCGAGGGGGATGGTCGTTTGGATGGACTCCAGTTTCTCAGTCCTTCGTTGGACATGTTTGAGTTCAACTCGGTCTTTCAGTTGTTCTTCAGTTTTCCATTGGCCCTTTCTGTTGTCCCATATGTCCCCTATCGTCAAGATTCCTCTGGCTACCCATGGACGCCAATGGGATCCTACTGCAAGTTGTAGCGGGGTTCTGTTGACGTCTAGAATACTCGGGTTTCCAAAGAGAGACTGCCTTCTTATTTCCTGCCAGCGTGGTTGAGGGGGGAGAGGGGAGGGGCCCATTATCCTCCACAGTTTGATGAGATTCGGCCAGTCTGAGAGCGGATCGTTAACTGTGTCTCTTCTGGTCTGGATTTGTGGAGAGTCATCCCCTTCGTTTGCAGGTGGGCCGGGTACGGATCAGGCGGCGTTTGTGAACCACTGCAAGGGGTGTACCGTTTTTTCAACGAGGGAGGGGGGTGTCAGGTTGGCAATTTGGATCATTGCATCTTGCGCCCACTGGATTTCATTACCCAGAAGGATTCGGATAATGACTTTAAATGAAAGGGTCCTCAATTGGTTCTCCGGTTCTAGCACTGTCAACCCTCCACGCGCCCCAGACTGGGCAATGTATTTGCATGTCACTCTGGATATGAAAGTTTGATCTTCGTGGTCATTTTTTCAAATATAGGTTGCTGCTGCCGTTCTCAGTTGTTGCAGGTGCTTGGGGTGGATCGGCCAGCATGCCGCCTTGTACCAAATGGCGGAGAAGATTGCCGTGTTAATTGTCAGGGCCCTCCATCGCTAGCAAGGCGGAGGTATGGAGGCCTTTCCATCTTGCTAGCGATGCCAGGGCGTCCTCCACCAACGAAGCCCCATGGTCCCTCGGGGGGCCCTGTGCCATAAGTCTGACTCCCAATATCCAGATTGCTTCCTCCTTTCGTTTCCACAAGATGGCTGGCTCCGGCGGGGGGGCGTCACCCCTGGGGTGCAGCCACCACCCCTCAGTCCTTGATCCCCAATTGACTACCATATCAGAGGTGACGGAGAAAACTTGAATGATGTGGACAAGGGCATCGATGGAGGATTTGTTGGCCTTTGTAAGCATTGTCAGGTCGTCCACAAACATGGAGGTCATAGGGATCAGATGGTGGGGGATCTCTGGCACGATTTTCTTTTCTATTTCTGGGTTAGCCCTTATGGATGCTGCCAGTGCTTCCATAACTATCACGAACAGCTGGGGGGCAATGGGGTCGCCTTGCCTGACTGAGCGTTGGAGGGGGAATGGGTTAGACAAGTGGCCATTCACCATTATGTTGGTTGAGGCTGTGCGGTGAAGGGTATCCACACATCTACAGATATTCGATCCAAAGTTCATTTTAAGGCGGCATAGATCGAAGAATGTCCAATCGACGTGGCCATATGCCTTCTCAAAGTCGATGAAGAGGACTGCCGCTTCCTTACCTCTCTGGCGTGCGTATTTGACC